GCCCACATTTGATTGACTGATACAAGGTTCATCCCTGCTGCTGCTGCACAACCTGGCAAAGTTGTTCCGTACATCTCCTGGTGATGTTCGTTTGTCTTATTACCTTTTTGTAGTGCACCGTTATCTGGTTATTCTATGGTTTTCAATTTGTGAATGAACGGTGCTGGGTTTGGTGTTTGGTATGCTTCTTTCAAATGGCAGAAACATTCTCTATTAAAAATATGTGTGGAAAGTTGGTGGTGCATATCAGTTAGTGTATTCAAACCTCTGAGGACACGTGGGTTGAAATTCAACAAGTTGTCAATTTTGATGATTTTCAATGCATATAGATATAGTGTGTTTGTGTGTGTGTCTCATGGTTGGCAGCTTGCCCATCACAAGCCTCCAGTTCACACCTATTCCAGTTGATCCACCATTCTAGATTCCAGGGACCCGGTTACCGTAATTGGGTAGTAGGCCCTCGTGGATATGAAGTTTACCTCTTTTCAATGCGTATCACACAAAAAAGACCGTCTCATTCGCCATTGTTTATCATTAGAAACACAGCAATAAGGCCATTCGCTTTCTGTGTCCGTCCTGTTTTTTTTTAATCTCAGCTCCTGATAAGTATTTGAATATCCTTGTGTCGTCCTTTTCGAATGCTAATTCCCTTTATTTTAATTTTATCTGTCCGTTCTTATCGCCCCCTTAGCTTTGTCGGCGGTTTATGGCACTTTGAAGTCTGCACCAGGTCACTCACTACTCCACGTCTTGGATTGGCGAATCGTCGAGATGCGACCCAGGGAAGTTGCACAGAAATCAGTGCTCAATTGTTCGGTCTGGAACTGTCCGAATGTCTGTTCCCCGATCCGCTCGTTGAGGATGTCAACTTGCGGGAGCCGAGTATATACGATGTGAGTGTGTGTGCCTGTTTGAGCCTTAGCTGGGGTGGGGTGTGTTCGGATTGGGTTTCAGTACAGTTTAGTTGATTTAACCGCGGGACTGAAAAATTAGTTTTAGATTTTTGTATAAAAAATGTGCATACCCAAGTTTTCTCAAGCCAGTGACTACAATGTTTACCTTGCCTTGATTTTTTCATTTTTTTTTCTGATTTTTCTCTATCCTCTGGCCTTCACTGTTTTCATCTTTTATCGTGCATATATATTTCATAATAAGTAGTATGTGAATAACTGGACGAAATTTCCCTGTCCATTTATTCACATACTACTTATTATGAAATATTCTACAAAGACTATCAAGTCACGTTTGTTGCGGTTAGTAGCATCTAAACTACTTACAAAAACGTTGAATCATAGCATTGATTCTTCAATGGACTGGTTCCGAAAGAGCTGTCTATCCAAACGTCACCCAGTGATGCAAGTAGGGTTATTGTGTCGAATATATATATATATAATGTATCACCGGCTTGCTAGCAAACATACTGCCAACAACAATTAAAACTAACAGGAGATGGGTAGATTGGGATACAGACCGGAGTGCAAAGAACCCCTGAGTCTCTTCGCGCACAATCTGCTGTCGACTGGGATGCTGTCCATGTGCGGTTTCAGCTCTCTCACTGAAAGTCAAGCCACCACCAGCAACACTGAAAGCCGCAGCCTTAGGGTCCCCAGAGAGGCTCAAGTGAAGCTTGGTTTGATGTTGACGGCAATCGGATTATGGAGCTGGAGTCTTGAGTGCGAGTTTCTGGGATGCAGCATACATCGGTGGCTACAATCTCGAGCGCACGAGTGAACCACGTCCATTGTCCTATAAGCATCAGACTACGCACATTAAACGTAACTAGTTTGAACGGGCATCGCGGACGAAGAAGGGCTTCAGCTGGTGAAGGATTCGGTGAGGCGTGGACGCTAGTCTAAGTAGGACACAAGAACAGAGGCAGAATTTCCAACCCATGCACTACTATTAGTACGATCGTCTGAAGAACCTGAGAGACATGGAGGTATGTTTAAGAGCTAAAGGTGAAGTGAGGAAATGCTACGATAACATGAGTGTGTGTATGGCTTTGATGCTTCTTGCTTGATTGGGAACCTCAGAGTTGTGAGTCATAAGAGCCGAAAAGTTCATGGTTGTGTGCATTGTGGGCTGTTCTACTACTCGATGCAGAGTAGACCTTGTTCGAGGGTGCACTCTAGCCTTTGCGCAACCAAGCGCAGATTCCAAGGCAGCAGTGATGACTAGTGTCCAGTTTTCGGTGAATTTGCCTCTACTGGAAAACCTTGTCTAACAATAGATCTGGACAAGGGGCAGTGGTCATGTTTGGTTACGGCCGCACTCGCCACAGCACAATACTGTCCACAGATATTTGTGCTCTTTTGGGCCGAGAACCCTTGTCGGGCGATGATTCCACCGCACCCTTGACCGCTGTCGTTGGTCGTCCGCGACCGTGTATTCGGAGACCTAAGTTCACCTTATTCATATTTAGTTGCGAGATGACAGCTGTTCTCCTATCCGCGACCTGGGGTTGCGCTCGGTAGCATACACTTCTGCTCTGCACTTGTATATTCCATAAATAAAGAGGAGTTAAAAGCTATTTCCCTAATTATGATAAATGAACGGATCCATACAACCATCTGGTTTACCACTAATCCAGTAGTATGTTCTGTTAGCTTTTTCTTCGTCCGAACTTATTTCAAGTCGTTTTCTTTTCCATCGTAAATTATTTGGATGTGTGCGTGGTAGTAACATGGTTTCAGATATAAACAACATCACAGCTGTTCTGTTTCTTCCGTATTTCACACGTGCGTGATCTAACCACCGCCACCAGACACCTGTTTCCTATCCATTCGCACATCGGAATCGTTTCCAACGTCTGTTTCGAAGGCGGTTATGGTCGACAAAGTTGAGGCACTTGATCGTATTCTTCGGTCTCTTTCACGAATTTGCAAAGCAGTGTGAGAAAAAGCGGATGTGATTCATTCACTTTCATTTCGAAAACTAGTCGAATACCGGATCGGGCCGAGAAGAAGGAGATGAAACAGTTTATCGTTTATTTGTTGTGGAAACCTAACTGAACAGAAAAAACGATTTGATCTACTCCGAGTGCCCGCGTGTCTCGATCCAGGGTGCTAATGGTGGCTTAAATCTCAGTTAAAGGACCAATTGTGAAAATTCACACTCTCGATTCGTCGATTTTTCACCCTTTCTGGTTATATTTTTACTCCTCGTCGACTGAACCTTGATCAGTTTTAGTTTATCCACGGCCTCACTTTTATTGGGCTCCGTGTTGCGGTAATTATCTCAGACAGGAGTGAATTTTTTTACAGTACAAACTGGATGAATGGCAGAACTCTTACGTTTTAACGGGATGGGTGCATATTTTAACCATGATTTAGATTGCTCTTCAACCGATTTGCGTTTTTAGTTGGGCAAGAATGTCATCAGCAGTAGCTTGGTTTCATTCACTCTGTTTTTCACCGGTGGTTCTCTCGTGTTTTTGTTGCGCCCTTTTCAGTCATTTTCACCTTCTATGTGATTTCTGGTCGATGCTACTGCGTGCCAGCGTTTATCACCCGAATTATGTACCTCTGATTAGAAAAAAAAACACGCAACTGAAGCGAGCAACTTTTAGCTGTTCAGTCTGCGTTGGTTATTCGTGCTCAAGAATTCACAAATCTACAGTTCCAACTGGGGTCTCTGTATAAGACCCAAAGTCGATCATGTCTAAATTTGTTTGCTTTGTTTTTTCTTGTGGATGATGTTTTCAATACTGTTCCAAAACTAAACCTTTTGTAGTGTGGGAATCATTTATATATTATCACCAGTCTTGCACACCTTCACCTTCCCACTGGCATCTGTCGCTCTCGTTCGACTCATACTGATCGGTCAAACAAACTATTGATTCGAATGATTCACCTTACCAATATTTTACGGAGGCTGTGTTCACTGCTGTCCGTATGACAAGTTAGACTGAAGTCCGTGCTTTCATTGCGCTTTCCCCTACTGTACCACGATGAGCAAACAACGCTTTACTTCGCGTGTGTGCGCGCATGTGCTTACATGTATCAACGGGGTCCTGACGTGGTTCTGAGCAAACCTACTGCATTTCACTTTTAACTTAGCGATGTTGTCGGTATTGGAATCCTCCCGAGAATACCTGAAAAATGCAGGGAAATATTTAGATGACATCATCTTGGTTTCATTGTTCACTTGTCGTGGTTTACGAGTTTATTCTACGTGTTTGGTCATCAATCAGAGTTGGGTTATGAAAATCGATTTCATTTTGAGTGTATTATTCTTTTCCTTGTGAATGCAGGCAATTCATTCAGTCGGGACATGTTAACAACGAGGTAATCTATCTGACTTCTTGAAGAAGTGTTCAGAATCGCCAAAATATCTGGTTGATAGACCCCTATAGAACATATTCTATTTTTGGTCTCGTATAGTTGGATGCCCTGAATCCCAGGAGTTGGCCGGTACGTTCCTCTGGTCGAACAGTACATCCTCGTGACTATAGGACTCCCTCTCCATTCTATTATTGTTGATCATTCTCAGGTGTGTATTTATAATCTTATTGGTCATTCTGTATTTACATTGTGTGATACTGTTTTCAGATTTTCGTTTGATTTTACTACTCTCTTCACTGATCGACGACATGAGTTATCAAACGATAGAAACCAAAGCCACCACACCTCAGTGTAAGATTGCTGTTTTTACTGACTGAAACTTATAAGCACCACACTCAGCTTTGTTTTGACCGATAAACATCCAAATATAACAAATGAAGCTTGCGATCTGTGCTAACAGCGAGCTCTGCGCGCAACAAAGTCTTTGTCATTTAAATTTCTTATTTGGCTCCTAATCTGGTTCTCGTTGACCGGCTCAGATGATATATCTTTGGGAAATTCTCTATTGTCTGATTGAAGTGACTCGTTCGCATAGACGTCCGATCAAACCAGTTCAGTAAAAACTGAACTGAACCGATCAAACCACAAAGTTTAACGGTCGACAATAAAATTTTCTCTTATGCCAAGCATTTTATCGATATAAGGATTTTGAATTGTGTTCAAAACATGGTAACAAATTTCAAAATGAATACAATACAATCATCAGCGTTTCTTCAGTAAGTTAATACTTTTGTAATCATTTTCAATTACCTGGTTTGACTTCTTATGTATTTTAGCCAGCTACCTGAATAAGCACAAGAAATCTGACATCTAATCCATTTTCAGCCCCTGGATTTTTGCCTTCTTCGAGGTTTTGTGAAGGCTTTTCTCTGTGTGCCTTAAGCTTTTTGAGTTGACACTAATTAACACAGTCGAACTCGTTTACCGGTTAACGCCTCCGACTTGAGGTTCCCTACAATCTGCAATGATCTTTTCAACTCCCTGCCCCTGCCGCACACACACACACACACACTGGCTAACCAGCGGCATCTATGTGGTGGCATGTGTGTGTGTGTGTGTGTATGTCGGGTATGAAGTGCTACTCATTCATCTCATTGAGACTGAACAGGTGTATCATCTGACCGCATACCTTTCGCACAGCGTGCAATCGCATGTTTCGGTGGTGTGTTGAATGTCGTTACACTTGAACGATCGGCAACTATTGAGGTGCTCTACTCCCACTAGCGCATCAGATATGCGTTTGACAAGCTGTCCTCATCACAGTTTCAAAATTTGATTTCAAAATCTTCCTTGATCTACTTTACTTCATGTTACATGTTGTTTGCTATTTACCATTTTATTTATCTCTATTTATATTCATTGTGATAGAATCAAAGCAACTATTCTCGTTGCTTTTCGTCAGTTTTGTCACGATGGCTCACTGATCTAATCAAGTTTTACCGGTGAAACGCAAAACATTTAATGACATGATTATGTAATTTAGTATAATGATGGCTGTGCTAGCTTGGGTCAGACATTTGTAACGCTTGATGACAGTTGTACAGTGCGATTTCCTTTCACAAGAGTCGCACCTTCCCTATGCCGTTTCCCGTTCACACAAACTATTCGTAAGATTCGAGCTGTGCTCACTCTTCGCCTTCAATATCACACCGGTCTTTTGTATCTTTGCCTGAAACGTCTCAACAGGTGGCGAGCAACCATTCTTTTGGTTCCCGCTCCACACCCAACGTTCTTCATCTATATTGGTTCGCTCTGAAACACGCCAAGACTTAGGTGATCAATTATCCTATCGTATTGTATTGTAATGGCTTATGCAAGCAACTATGCCTGCATTTCAGTCAACGATGACTCTTCATGCTTGAGCAATAATTTCGTTTGACTATGAACCAAATTAAAATGGATGAAAACAAATAACAATGATTTCCGAACTAGGGTTGAATTCTTTATCATACGCATTCTCATGGAGATCTGAAACCGCCAGTTAAACACTGTCAAATCCATCCCACAAAAAATGATTTCGTTACATTCTCGAAGCTCCCGTAGAGTATTGAATGTCTATTTGATTTGTTCTCTTACAGTCTCGCCAAGACATTCTTCGTCTCTAATTAACTGGGTAGAAATAAGTGTGGATATGTTTATTAATAACGGTGTATTTGTCCTTCAGGAAGGTCCTACACCGAATCGGCTGATATCAACAGAATGCGCACCGCCTCCTAAACATACTGATATCCTACTACTCTGCTGTACCGATTCAGCCAACTCTGCAAACCGAGCGAACAAACTCTGTCCTTTTGCCGCCAGTAGTATCTGTATGTATGTCATTAAAGGACTCAATAGAGCGAACCCTTTGGTTTTAGGACTCCGGTTATCCCTGGCCAGTTGACTAGTTGGTTTTCCGCGGTTCTATTTTCGCTTGTATCACAACAGTTCCCTCCCCTTTAGGAGTGCCTAGTTAAGTACATTGTAGAATTGAAATTTTGTCCTTTTACGCACGCTGTTATCATGAATGCGACCATCATAGCTAAACAACTTCCTGTTCAAATACTTTATGCTCATGATAAGCTTCAACTGATCGAATGTCGCTTGGTCTTTACCCATTGATTTATTGCTTCCTTGTTCTTATCTACCTCGGCAGTTCTTTCTTTCTTTCTACTTTTTGCTTATATTCGGCTTTACATTCGATCAACTGGTCGTGCATTTTCATCTGTCCTGTTCCAGCTCATCAATCTCTATTATTGGTTTCACATCATGATTATTTCATTACTGTGCTGCGTTATTCTTCTAGTACAATTGAGATCACATGTTCTATGATTTAAGGTCACTCAGTGGTTATGTGAACTTTTGTTCGGTTCCGAATTTCGGCCATGTTCCTGCCTTGACCGATGTGTGGTAGTGTGGACCATCAAAATGCACTCCGAAATGTTTGTGAATTCATGATTGTTTTGGTTGTTTCGTAGCTAATTCCAGTGCACCGTTTTCCTCCGTTTTTATTTTGTCTGCCCTTCATTCTCACTTGGAACCGACTTATTTTGTTCTGTCCTCATTCTGACTCGATTCACGAGCCACGGGTTGAGACCAAACTCTTCGTGATAGACATTCATACTCTGTGACACGTGACGTTCCTTCATCCATCTGCGCGTTCTGTAGTGAGTTAAGCCACTCAAACCCACATAACCTGAATGTTCTTATTGAGTTCGATAGAGTGTCGGTGATAACATGGATCTATCATCGATCCTGTGGTACTGACACGTTCGTACTACTCCATGCTGTGGTAGAATGTGCATCAGATGAGTCTTGTGACCGTATCGAACCGGGATAGGCTGTCTGCTGGCACGCGCACGTTAGAGACGTACCGTTTCAGTAATCAATCCCGTATCTCCTCTTATCCTTATTAGCATTGTTACTCATTTGTTAAATTTAGCTGATGACAGTTAAAGAAGATGATCTGCTAGTCAAACATAGACATTGTAGTGTAGTTTAATAGATGCCTAGAGTAACGCTCGTACCGGGGGTTGTTCCTGCCGAGTTGCAAGTCGTACTTATCACCAAGCAAATCATTTATATTGATATTATTATGCATTCCCTTGTATTAAAACAGTTATAATGCTGCCTTCGTCTGGAATACCTAATGGCATAACCAATAGTTTTCTGTTTTTACGGACAGATCGACAAACGTTCTCGGGTGGCAAAATTCACTTTGCGGTGTTTTTGTCTCCTTCGTGATTGTTAATTTGGTTTTTGATGAATCCGTCGTGACACACCCATCATCATCGGTTTTATCAACGCCCTCTTTCAGCCATCCAGAATGAGTGGCCTGAGAGAGTAGCTGATGGTTTTGATATTTTTAACGACCATTTAGCATCATTTACTGCAGCACACTTGGGTTTCCAAGCCAACTGGTTTTCTCTTTGCCCATGGAGGAAAGTGAACTTTTTTCATCCGGTTAGCAAAATTTATTTTTAGTTCTGTCGATCGACACAGTACATTTCTTTGGCACTTTACGACCATCGATACACATTCCGTCCACATCATTTATATCAGTAGTGCCCTCTGGGCCATTCTGTGCAAATTTCCTCCGCTCGTACACATTCGCGTGTACCTGAAGGTTATCGGTGATCGAAAAACGTCCACACAATTATCTTCCACGTATCACACACACACACACACACACACACACACACACACACACACACAACTCTCGCACCTGTTTCTTGTTTTTCTCTCGTTCTGTGCACTTCATTTAAATGAACTGACTCATAATTAGACCTGAACACGTTTGCCAAACGCTGCTCTTATCTAACCCGAATCAGTTTGGTGGGGAAAATTGTGCCGCGGTTTGCAGTTCCTTCGCCCCATTTCCTTGTGAATTGTTTTCTACCTTTCAACCCAAATACTGACGTCATCCTCACAACCTCATGTTTCGTGTTGCGTTCGGGGCTGTAGAACGCCAGCGTCATATAGTTGCCCCCTTTTATGTCCGACAGGTCGTGTGGGAGCATCAAGCAATCGCCAAAAATTGTTTTTCTCGCATATGGTCTATTTTCACCAACGAACAACTGTTCCTTTCTTCTCTTCGTCTAATACCTTGTGTCATGATTAAGAGAGGAAGTGGAACGGATTTTTTTACTAATCATCATTATCGATTCTAACCTAACGTTTCGTTTACTAGTTGAGATATATACCTTTGCTTGAATATAAACCTTTATTCCCACTTCATCTGTTTCATGATTAGCATTTTTAAAATCACCTTTCCTTGAACAAAAGTAAAGCTCACACTAGAAGTCAGTAATGATGATGATGTTTGAAGAACTTCTGTATTCGATTTGCATACTAATTCACAAAGGATAATATATGTATATGGGTACCTGTTTGTGCGGGTGTGTGCGTGTATGTTGTGCTTTCGTATCATTATCACAGATACAGAGCCCGTACAATTTGTCCATCAAGAGAACATGATTGGTGGTCCATGACGAGCGGGGTAAGGTTAATTGCCGTTGCTCTTCTGATTTAAAATTTGTCACTTTTTCCTGCTTCTCTGTGGTGAAATATTCCACCTATTCGTCCAGTCGAAGACACACACACGCTCGCAAATGCATCGGTTTTCACTTACTGAACTGGGATATCTGCGTATGAGACCAAACTTTACATTCATTTG